TACCATTACTGTCCTCCAACTCCTGCCCCTACCATTACTGTCCTCCAACCCCTGCCCCTACCATTACTGTCCTCCAACCCCTGCCCCTAGCATTACTGTCTTCCAGCCCCTGCCCCTAGCATTACTGTCTTCCAGCCCCTGCCCCTAGCATTACTGTCCTTCAACCCCTGCCTCTAGCATCACTGGGACAGTAATGCTAGGGGCAGGGGTTGAAGGACAGTAATGGTAGGGGCAGGGGTTGAAAGACAGTGATGCTAGGGGCAGGGGTTGAAGGACAGTAATGGTAGGGGCAGGGGTTGACACGGCAGTGATGCTAGAGGCAGGGGTTGAAAGACAGGAATGCTAGGGGCGGAGGAGGCGGGGGGACAGAAACAGCGGTGCCAGGGGCTGGGGCGGGGGGGGCATAGCATGCGCGGGGAGGTGGGGGTGGTTGTGAGGCAGGGGCCGACGCATAGGATTCGCGTGTAGTGGAGTTGGCGGAAGTTGGGATGAGAGCGCTAGGGTCAGAAGCAGGGCTAGGGCGAGATGTCAGTGGTCAGGACGGGGGTGTGGCGGGCGGTAGAGGCAGAGGGTGCAGTTGCAGAGATGGGGCGGAGGCAACGGGAAGGGGAATGGTTGAAGACCGGCGGGGAGCGGGGCAGTGCGAAATTGATATTATTATCTATATAATCCGCTACAAGACGTTACGTCTTTCGAAACGAGGACGAATGGAGTTCGCACCCCCCACACCCCACAGTTTACATCCTTACCAACCTACGCTAATTTGCTAAAAATTTGCTAATACTATTGACATATCTAACACTATCATCCTCCTCCCGGACCTAGACTGAATATACTCATATTCAAACCGACAACCGAGAACGCCCGGCGTGTTACATATTGTACGTGTTTCTAAGCCTCTGGAATCAGCAGGCATGCGTATCTCCACAGCCGACTCCTGTGACCCACACAACAAGGTACCACGAATGTTGACTCTCCGGCATTTGCAGTTTGGTTAGCCTACACGCACGCGCAACACAATACAGCGCGGTAGAGTGAGAGAAATCTCTTCCCCTATGGCTCGCTGTGGCGCTAGAACCGCAGCGGGTTCGAGTACTGACATAGGATCGGCTGCATCGTAAGACGTTCGACCGTGGGCGTTGCGCAATCCCGCTTACGCATTCGAGTATTTTCCTTTTCGTACCCTTTGACGTACGCTCACCTGACGACGTCGTCATACGATAAGTACTACAATCGACAACAAGGAAGCTTGCGGCGAGCGGTCAAGGGGTTGGCCATTTACCTGTATAGGTACTGCGAAATTTCCCGCACGGTGTCGCCACGGGTGATCTATCCTACGTAATTAATTCTCACGTCTTGTATAGTCTTTCAACACAAAGGGATGTCGTTCACAAGCACAAGGCATATACTATAGTAGTTAGGCGGGCGTGAGCGACGGTGTGAGGTCAACGAGTAATGTTGTTTAGTGTATTGTTTGTGAATGGGGAAACGACCTGGCAATGAAGGGAGGGCCGCGTGCGTGCAGTTGGCGTAGTTAGGGGGTGGGCAAAGGGGGCCATAGCCTCCCCTGTTCATCCGAAAGTTAAAGAAAAAAAAAAAATTTCTACTAAAAAGAGAATTGTCGTAGTCAGAATGAAGGCTGTACATGTACTCAAAAGTGCCTCAAATACCATCTGCTGCGATCTACATTTTCACAATTTTCTGGGGGAAGACCCCCCTACCCCCGCTTGTTTTTCACCCTCGCCTTGAACAATTACATATCTTGGGAGCAGAGAACAACGAACAAAAATGTCGCCTTTTCGCATGACGCCCAAAACAAAGATTGCAGAGCTGAGAGGTGGGGGAGCGTAGGGTGTGGAGAGAAGGAAGGAGGTGGAGGCGGAGGAACCATTAAAATATTAAGTCATCAAATATTTTGCGCAGTTCGCTGTTTTTGGCCCCCGTGTTAAAAAATCAAGGCTACGCCACTGGTAGAATATTGTATTGTTTGTGAATGGGGAAACGACCTGGCAGGCTGGCAATGAAGGGAAGGAAGCGTGCGTGCGTCTTGGCACAGACAGGACGCTTGTGCGCTTGAACGTTCAAGTGTTGTGTGTGTTCAAGTGAAGGTTCAACGCGCTTGAACGTTCGTCTACGTTTGATTGGAGTGTGCGTGCGTGCATGCGTGCATCCGCACGCGCGTGCGTGCGACACATGTGCGTCCACCAGGTGAATATAGAAGTGAAATAAGTATATAGGTACGATGCGTCTCCGTCACCTTATATATATCGCACGTGCCACATCTTAGCCCGCATACACACATGCACGCACACGCGCGCGCACATACCCGCGCACGCACGTGTACACGCATATACAAACAAACACGCGCGAACAAACACGCACGCACGCACGCACACGCGCGCGCACATACCCGCGCACGCACGTGTACACGCATATACAAACAAACACGCGCGAACAAACACGCACGCACGCACGCACACACACGCGCGCGCACATACCCGCGCACGCACGTGTACACGCATATACAAACAAACACGCGCGAACAAACACGCACGCACGCACGCACACACGCGCGCACATACCCGCGCACGCACGTGTACACGCATATACAAACAAACACGCGCGAACAAACACGCACGCACGCACGCACACACGCGCGCACATACCCGCGCACGCACGTGTACACGCATATACAAACAAACACGCGCGAACAAACACGCACGCACGCATGCACGCACACTGCTGTAT